GAAGAGGCAAGAGCACGAGTATGCGGTGGGTGATCATGTCTTCCTGAAGGTCTCACTCATGAAGGGTGTGATTCGCTTCGGGAAGAAGGGGAAGCTTCGGCCTCGCTATATCGGGCCTTTTGAGATCCTTGCTCGAGTCGGAGGCTTGGCGTATCGGCTAGCTTTGCCACCGGACTTGTCGGGAGTGCACGACGTATTTCATGTCTCCATGTTGCGTAGATATGTACATGATCCCGACCATATGGTGGACTTTGGCGAGCTGCAGGTCAAGCGAGACCTCACCTATGAGGAGGTGCCGGTTGCCGTACTGGACCGGAAGGTCCATCAGCTGAGAAACCGGGCAGTGAGTCTGGTGAAGGTGCTATGGAGCCGACACGACGAGACCGAGGCGACTTGGGAGATCGAGGCCGAGCTTAGGAGGAGATATCCGAACTTCGCTTTTTGATCCCTTTTGTACTCTTTTGTATTCTGGTTGAATTGTTTTTCTTTCGAATTCCGAGGTCGGAATTCCTTTTAAGGTGGGTAGATTGTAGCGCCCCGTTCGTTTATTAGAATTTTCTGAATATTATATTATTATTTATTTGCTTATTATTGATTATTTGCCTTTGTGGTATTTGTTTGCCGGTTATGATATTATTTGCTCGTCTCTTTTATCTGTTAATTTATTTAAATATTATGTGCTATTAATTATGTGAATAATTATGTGTTTATTTATAATTTATATGTAGTAAATTTTTTTAGGATTTATTTGTTTCAAATTTCAAATTGTTTCGGCGATTTCCGGTTTAATCGCGTAAATCGATTTTAATCCGTTTCGACTCGTTTTTGAAGTTATGTTAATCAGAACTTCAAGTACTTTATTTTGGGCCTAAAAATTATATTTTTAGGTCCAATTTGACCCAAATATTGCACAATGCCGTAAGGATCAAAACCATTGCCATATAATTTATTATTTAACTCATTCTTTTCTTTTAAAATTCAAATGTTTGGGAAATCATGTATGGTAAGTCTTGGTACCAGCTCTCATCAGTCCCTAAGGATTCCTTTTTGGCCGTTTTTCTTCCCCCATTTAAGCATATTGATTCACTAATTATAGCAATAATCATCTTGACTTCATTGGGTCATTAAAAAGGAAAATAAGCACCTCAATTCCCTCATTCCTCACGCATTTCTTCCCTTAGAAATCTGCCTTTTCTTCTCTCCTTAAGCCTCTTGAGAAACCAGCAGAAACTTTGAGCAAAATTTTGGAGAAAAATTCAAATCTCCATCGCCCTCAGCCCTTGTCATCTTCCTCGCGAGCCATTGCAGACCACGTTCCCCGTTCCCAGGCCACCATTTACGTCCAAGGCTAACCCGCAACCCAAGTTTCTGTCTCAAGTTGAGCACGTCAAACCAGGGCCGAACAACTGCCGTCCGAGATCCGTATTCTCGATCCGGTCATACTCATTAGTCGTAGATTCCGGAGTACGGTGACTTTCAGATCCTCTTTCTTCTTAAACTTGTGTTTTAATTTCATTGATTATTGTCGAATCGTTTTCGTCTTTTGTTTTTATAACGGTTCGTATTCTCGTTTTGTTTGTTAAATTGTTATTTTGTAAATTGCCGTGGTTATTCGGAACTCTCAAATTCAAAAAAAAAAAAGAGTCTTGTTGCAGTTGAGATTAAAATCTGAGATTTTCAAATTCTCGTTGTGTTTTTTTTTTCTATTTCGTGTCGTTGTCTGTATTGGGCGTCTGCGTATTATCTGAGCCTTTTGGCGTGTTCGTTTAATTTTCGGGCCTTAAACCGTTGAGCCTTCAAGCCTTCATGTTGATCGCAAA